TGACAGAGTTTATCACTTCATTGTGAGCAATTAAGACAGACATAATGTGCAAGCATTCCTGAATATCATCCATCACCTGGCTACTATACATGCCAAACTGTTCTGCAATGCAGCTCCAATTGGATTTTTCCTTCCCACCTGCTGTCTCTTAAATCTACACCCTGATTATATCCCTTGTTTGCAAAATAAAAAAAAAGGATGAGGAAAATCATCTGGCATTGTTAAAACATAATATGAGAAGCAAACTGCAGAAATAATGCTTTTTTTCCCCTTCTAACAGAATGCAGATGTGGTTATTTTCAGGTATTGCTGATGACAACATTCTATGACCGAGCTTATTTGTCAGCTTCTCCTCACAAAAGTTAATCCTACTGTTTTCATTTGGGAACATCCCGGCCCATCCTAGGACTCAGCTTTCAAAAAAAATAAGAGGGCAGGAAATATTTTAGATCATTGAGGGCTCAGGAAGGAATTCCATCCCACACTGCCCAATCCTCCTTGTGCAGAACTACAAATTCACTTTGTGGATTCTTTGAAGGATTTGCTGCTGGCAATGCCAGAAGAACGATGGTCAGATCAGTATGGCAAGCCTGCTTCTGCTTTCCCCGTGTCATTCCGTGTTTCATAGTCTTTCTCCTTTATCTCTGGACATGTCAGTTGAAATAGTGAACGTGAAATGATTAACATTAAACTGCATGATCTGTTTGTTTATGAAATAACATATTTACAGCTAGAAGCATTAAGGGGCCCGGAAGGAATCTACATAAGCTTATACACAGAAATGGTTATGTCAATATACTCCCACATCTCTCACAAGTATCTAATTATGCAGAATGCCCCTTTATAGACATGTTTACTTTGATTCCAGAGACATCTGATAGCATCCCACATTTTGTCGTAGGAATTAACACAACAAGTGAGTGAAACAAACAACAGTATGAGGACAAGGATGACAAAAAAAATATTAATAACCATATGCCTTCACCTAGAATAGCATTATGCACTCCCTTAGAGATCCAAATCATATAAACTTCTCCTTTTAATATAAACTAATTAATTAACAGTAATCCGCACTGTTGTCATTGGACCATAAACTAAATATGAGCCAACAGCGTGCTCTTGTTTCAAAAGAAGCGGACAGTATGCCAGGTTGTATCAACAGGAGTGTCACCTGCTAATCAAAGGAAGTGATACTTTCATCCTGTTCAACACTGGTGAGGCCTCACCTAGAGTAGTGTGCCAAGTTTTGGGCCCTACGCTTCAAGAAGGAAATGGACAGTTTTGAAAAAGTCAAGTGCAGATCGATATACATGATTAGGGGCCTGGGAAGCAAGGTTTATGGGGACAGGCTGAAGAAGTTAGTCTGTAAAAGACAAGACTGAGGAGCGATTTGATAACAGTCTTCAAATACCTAAAGGGCAATTGTAGAGAGGATGGAGACAGGCTTCTCTCTTCTTGACAGGACCAAGAGTAATAGCTTTAAGCCGTAGCAGGGGAAATTTAGGTTGGAAATTAGGAGGAGCTTTCTGACTATGAGGGTAGACAGGCACAGTTTTCAAGACCAGGTTGCACAGATACTTGGCAGGAATGACTTTGTTAGTGATGATCCTGCCTTCAGTGAGTGGACTAGATGATCTTGTGAGGTCCCTTCCAGCCCTAGTTTTCTATCATCGTGTGATCATTAATTGGTAGTTTCCCTTGAGCATCATTGTGGGAATGTGTGCTAAGGAAAGGTTTGATGGAAGAGAGAACAGTCATAGCTTTAGGGACTAGTTTGGGGGCACAGATTTCCTCATGACACTGAATAAATAATCAGTACATTTTTGGAGAAACAAAATGAGGACAGGGAAGGTTGGCTTCATTTGTGCAGCAGGAAGGGGTAAGTTGATAAGCTACAAGAGAAGAATAGCAATAGGCCTTTAAACTTGGACTTGACGTGATTTGCCCTCTCTGGTTTTGGACTGCTCCTCAGGGCCCTGCTGTTGAAGATCTTTCTTTCCTAAGATCTATTTATGCTTTAGGTGGAATTAACAAACCCCAACTGCTATAAAATATAGTACAAATTAATCGGCAGTATTCAGCAGATTCTCAACACCTGATGGATTCTTCTAACCTATTCTAAATGGATCCCTAGACTCAAATAAGGGTTTATACTGTTCTCATCACAAACAGGGTACAGGGGAGAAAGTTTTTAATACAGATCTTCATCTGCCCTCCTAAACACAGTGCAAGTAATAACTCTGCCTTGTTCCATGAAAAAATACTTGAATGTTATGAATCCCTGCTTGCTTTCCCCAAATACCTTGACATCTAAATTTCTACTGTGTTTTTGCTAAACAAAAGATTTTTTTGGTCTATATAAAAATGGATAGCTCATTTAGAATTAACCAGGTCTGGCTGTAAATACTTTTCTGGTCAGACATTTCAGAAGATTTTGGTGTCTGCCAGTCAGCAAAATCCCAACAAGTCATCCCAAAATAATAAATTATCTCATTTCTAGACAAAAGCACTCAAAGAAGAGAACAAAAGCCAATAAAATCCTAATTGATTATTGCTCAAAATATGAGTAAAAAGTTATATAAAACTTTAATATTTGTATTTAATGGTTGAAGTAGATAAAATCATAATTTATGCACTTTCTAATCCCTCCAGCTGTGAAAAACAAAGTTAGATTTGATTACACTACTGAACCTCAGGCAAACTTTGTG